TAATTTATATAAAAAAATCATTTTAAAAGAACTCAAGTAACAATCTCAAAATGATTATGAAACTTTCACAATTATTAAAAAATGCCACAAAATCTTATATTCTCCTAAATTTAACCAAGAAGCGTGAAAAAACAATATTAAAATTTTGAAAACATATCAGTTTTCCAATCTCCAATATTATTATTTTTTTAAATTGTTTTTTTTTAAATTTATAATAAACAATAAAACAATTACAAAAATCTCAAAAACATTTTCAAGTGACCAAATTTCAGAAATTTCTTTAAAACTCATTCATGTTTTTTGTTTCTTCTTTATTTTATTCCTTACTGTCATTTCTCAAGATTTTAACAAAAAACTTAGCAAAGAGAAATCTTTAAAAAAATCAGAAACATTTTTTCAAATGATTAAACAACTGCTTACAGAATTTTATCTAGAAATTTCGCCATTGTTGCCAACCAATTTTTGTAAATAAAAGTTTTATTTTAATTAACAAATCATTATTTTGTTTTTTGTGTTATTTTTATTATACAGGGTGCGCCAGAACTCGCGCCCCAGAGAAAATTTTCATTTCTCTTCTTCTTTAGATTCTTTACTATTATTGTTTAGCTCAATTTGCAAAAGAAAATCGAAATTCATAATATTTCTTTTAACGATTTGAGTAATTCTTTATCTCAAAATCTTAGTTGTTTTTCATAACTGTGATAAAAAAAAATTTCCTCACAAATTTCAAAATTAAAAAAAAGTCTCAAAAGCTTAAATAAATAATGATCCTCTGAGAACTTCACAATAATCAAAAACTATCTCAAAATATTAAAATTTTAATAAGTTAAACTTATTAAAATATTAATATTAATATTAAATTAAAATATTAATAAGTTTAACAAAAATAAAAAACGTATGTACAGGGTGATTCTTAAATAGACCGACAAAATTTTATCATTGGTAGAATCAAATGTGTACATACTGGAACAAATATGAAAAAAATTCTTTGTTTAATCGTTCTCCAAATAAAATTTATTAAAGTTATTTTTGAGGTAAAGCGTACGCCACTGATGTGTTTGTAAATAGTATTAGCACAGATAGTGGAAACCACGGTATTAACTTAATAAAAATGTACTTGATCATTGCAACAATTCATAAACGCCGTAAGTGGCACGGATCAAGGGGGTTTCGCCCCTAAAAGATATAAACCTAAAAAGGGTAAAGTTAATCTTCGCTTATCCTTGGGAAGCTCTGATAAAATTTTGTCGGTCTATTTAAGAATCACCCTGTATAGAAACAATATTAAAATTTGTAAAACGTACACTTGAGTGCAGAAAAAATGCAAATTGTCAAAAACAAGATTGTCAAATTTTTCAGAGATTTACATAGTGTGAAAAAGATTGTTCCTAAAAAGGTTAGAACTATCAAAAGACATGTCGTATTTGGTGGTCTTGTCAGTGCAGTGTCTTAGTCAGTATTAAAAAATAAATGGAAAAACATGGAAAAACTTGACAAAAGTTTGAAAAATGCCTGAATTTGAAAGATCAAAAATTTCTTCAAACGATTTAAACAACTGCTTACAGAATTTTATTTAGAAATCTCGCCATTGTTGCCTACCAATTTTTGTAAATAAAAGTTTTATTTTAATTAACAAATCATTATTTTGTTTTTGGTGGTATTTCTATTATATTTTGTATTAAAGTTTACAATCTACTGTCTACGCTTCAAGTTTTCTTTTAACTTTTATATTTTTACAAAAATTAGACAAATCTTCAAAATAAATTTTGGTGTTGACAAAAAATACAGTTGAAGTAGAAAATCAACTCAACAAAATTAAAAAAAATATTTTTTTAAATTTTATTTTCATTTGATTTCTGTCAAGGCGTTTTTGTAACTATTTTCTGGCAGTTTTGACCCCTTGTATATTTAGTTATTAATAAATGTTTAAAATATTTGACAAGTAACAAAAAAAATCAAAATTATTATTAAATTTGAATATTTTCGGGTCTTTTTGCAAAAGTAATATTAAGAAAATCCGATCCCTGTTTTAAAATTAGTGAGAATGCAACATGTCAAATTTCACATCTTATGTCTTTACTTTATTCAGTTTTGCAAACTTAATTTGAAAACCACAGACTACTTTGTTTAGAAATAATAAATAATTTAATTTATAAACAAAGTAGTCTTTAACTTTAAAAATCGTAAATAAATGACAATTGACTATAAAAATATGACGTTTAAATATAATAATCACGTTGCCAACTTAATTTCAACTCACAGGCCACTTTGTGTTCAGAAATTTAATTGAAAGCTTGAAATAAATCGCCATTATTAAGGCTTTTCAATATTTTCATTATACAGGACGCTTAAAACAAATTCAATATTATTCGTACTTACTTATAATTTCCACAAGCAACTCAAACATCTGCTTGATAGGCAAATATTGCGGATCATAAAGATCCTTCAACCCATTTTGTTCCGTTGCTCTTAATCTTGCATGTTCCGAAATAATCTGCAACCCGTCATGCACCAACTCGTCGTGATTCCTCGCATAATTCGACAAAAGACTCGACTTTAACAACACAAAAGTGTAACAAAAAGCCGGTACTGTAAAACAACTCTGATTTTCATTTTTCGCTAGTGTTCTTTCGTGAATCAATGATACTGTTCTGACCATTGCTTTATTCAAATTCTCGGCTTCCCAATTAGCGTCAATGTCGCATTGAGGTTTCAATAATCTCAATGTAACAAAAGCTATGAGTTCGCCTAGAGTCTCCAATTGGTGGGTAAAAACTGTACATCGAAGATCGGTGAAAAGTTTTGATAAATAAGGTGCGGCGAGTGGTGATTGCAAACCGCTTAAAATATACGGAAGTAAGTCTTTGAAATATAGAGATAGTTGGAGAGGATTGCCCTTAGCAGCAGCTCTTATCATCGACACGCAATTGATAATTGAAGTGTTCAGCTGAAAAAATAACAAGTTAGATGTGGAATAATTTTATCCATAAATTTTATGATAATTGATAAAGATAATTTTATCCACGAATACCCCTCTACAAATGGTAATACTAAAATTACAAGCAAATAAAACTAAAACCTTCTAAATATTATATATTTCTAATTAGAAAAATTTGAAACCGCCCAAACACTTATCTAACACTTCACTAAAAGTGATTTTGCATGAGAATGTCAGTTAACTAAAAGTTTCCAGTTTTTTTTTTTAATTAATAACAAAATAAATTTTTCATTAGTTAATAACACAGGGCGACAAAAAAAAATCATGTCGTGACAACTTGACAAATTTTATATCATTTTGTTCGTCTCTGTGAGACAAATCAAATGCACTACAAAAAAAATTCAAAAAGCCCACACACTTTGAACTAAATAATTTTTTTTTCTAATTTAAATGAATTTAAAATAGTTTAAATTTAAAAAATCATTACTCAATAACTTATTAGGCCGATTTCCTTCAAATGAAGACCACTTTAAAGGGATGGACTTGCCCTTTAGGATGATATGTAATTTAAAATTTAACATTGGCAAACTTTTCGAAGAAGTTAGAAGTAAATCGAAGTATTTTTTTTCTATGTCACCATCGTGTAGAGCATCTTTTGTAATAATTCTTACTAATGTAAGAATCCAAATTTTTAAAATAATATATCGAGTAGTTTTCAAGATATGATTTTTTGAAGTTAAGGTTTGCTATTCAGGTATTGCGCCACATAGGAGAAATGCATGTTAATCTTACTTAAAATTGCATTTTTATAAAAGTATTTGTTGTAAAAGTATTTCTTTTGCTTAAAAATCTTTGTTCTAATTAGAATAAACAAAAACTGTTTCTTTACTTAAAACAAACAAAGAGCACCTGCGTACTAATTAAAGCAAATAAAGAGTTTTTTTGTTCTAAAAATGATCACTGATCATTGAGCAAAAAGGATCTAGAAGTTTAAAGCAGTAGCTTTAAATATAAGAACAAATCTTTTTCAAATAAATCACTTTCCATTCAGATTCCAACTTGTTCACTTTGTTCTAGCTTTCTGAACTTTTTTTGAAAATGTTCTCAGCAAATGCTTACTTTCTACTGATGTTGAATGCAATAAGTCAGTTGCTTCGTGTGCAACTGTTATCACAACAACTACTACCTACAAGCTAACTGAAGCTAATCGTAGAATGTACCAACAAAATAAATCAGGTGACTTATTGCATTTAACATCACTCAAAAGTGATGAGAAAGCATTTGCTCAGAACATTTTCAAAAAAAGTTCAGAAAGCTAGAACAAAGTGAACAAGTCGAAATCTGAATGGAAAGTTTTTTGATTTGAAAAAGATTTGCCTTTATATTTAAGGCTCGTGCCTTAAACTTCTAAATCCTCTTTGCACAATGATCAGTGGTCATTTTTACAACAAAAAAACTCTTTATTTGCTTTAATTAGTACGCAGGTACTCTTTATTTGTTTTAAGTAAACAAACAGTTTTTGTTTATCCTAATTAAAACAAAGAAGGTGCAATTGACCATTTTTAAGCAAAAGAAGAGTCTTAAAACAAATACTTTTATAAAAATGCAATTTTAAGTAAGATTAACATTAAGATTAACATGCATTTCTCCTCTATGGAGCAATGCATGATTAGCAAACCTTAACTTCAAAAAATCATATCTTGAAAACTACTCGGTATATTCTTTTGAAAATTTAGATTACAACTAATACACGATGGTAAAAAAGAAAAAAATTACTCGTAGAGTTTTTTTTTTTTAAATTATTTCGATTTACTTCGAACTTTTTCGAACACTGTTCGAAAAAAAGTTTGCCAATATTCAATTTCAAATTTCATATCATTCTAAAGAACAAGGCCATCCCTTTAGAATGGTCTTTATTTGAAAGAAATCGGCCTAATAGTTATTGAGCAATGATTTTTTAAAGTTAAAGTATTTTAAATTCATTTAAATTAAAAAATATATATATTTAGTAGTGTGTGGACTTTTAAAAAAAAAATTTAGTGCATTTGATTTGTCTCACTGAGACGAACAAAATGATATAAAATTTGTCAAGTTGTCACGACATGACTTTTTTTTGTCGTCCCCTGAAATTAGATAAAATAATTAGATTTGTTCTCAAAATAATAGATTTATCTCCAATTTGTTAAAAACCAAACTATACCGAAACGATTATTATCTATAAATTTATGCACCATTACCCGAAAACATAATCAATCATCAATTAATAGAAGTTGCATAAAATACAATTTTTAGATATTTTATTTATTAATAAAAATAAAAAATGTGTACTTTACTTTTTTGCCTAATAAAAACATTTTTGGCCTCAATCGGTAACCTTGCCCGAGTATAATGTTTGCTATTAAATATTTTCCCATTAATTTAAAAAAAAATCAAATTATGGACAATTTCTAAATAAACTAATTAATTGTTTGAGAACATTAAAATAAAACATACATCATAATTAATTATGTAATTTAATTGATTAATGTGGTGAAAAATCTACTATTCTAAGAACAGTTATTTCACAAACTGATTTACACTAATTAATTGAAAACATTTATGTTAATCGTTTACATCACAATTTTTGAAAGTCCTTTTCTTGTTTTTTATTAATAGAATAAACGATAATAAAAACTATTTTTCTAATTATT